GGGTGGTGAGACAAGGCTGTGTGGGGGAGGTGAGACAAGGCTGTGTGGGAGGGGGAGGTGAGACAAGGCTGTGTGGGAGGGGGAGGTGAGACAAGGCTGTGTGGGAGGGGGAGGTGAGACAAGGCTGTGTGGGAGGGGGAGGTGAGACAAGGCTGTGTGGGGGAGGTGAGACAAGGCTGTGTGGGGGTGGTGAGACAAGGCTGTGTGGGGGTGGTGAGACAAGGCTGTGTGGGAGAGGTGAGACAAGGCTGTGTGGGGGTGGTGAGACAAGGCTGTGTGGGGGTGGTGAGACAAGGCTGTGTGGGGGAGGTGAGACAAGGCTGTGTGGGGGAGGTGAGACAAGGCTGTGTGGGGGTGGTGAGACAAGGCTGTGTGGGGGTGGTGAGACAAGGCTGTGTGGGGGAGGTGAGACAAGGCTGTGTGGGGGTGGTGAGACAAGGCTGTGGGGGGGTGGTGAGACAAGGCTGTGTGGAGGAGGTGAGACAAAGCTGTGTGGGGGAGGTGAGACAAGGCTGTGTGGGGGGTGGTGAGACAAGGCTGTGTGGGGGTGGTGAGACAAGGCTGTGTGGGGGTGGTGAGACAAGGCTGTGTGGGGGTGGTGAGACAAGGCTGTGTGGGTGTGGTGAGACAAGGCTGTGGGGGGAGGTGAGACAAGGCTGTGTGGGGGTGGTGAGACAAGGCTGTGTGGGGGAGGTGAGACAAGGCTGTGTGGGGGTGGTGAGACAAGGCTGTGTGGGGGAGGTGAGACAAGGCTGTGTGGGGGAGGTGAGACAAGGCTGTGTGGGGGTGGTGAGACAAGGCTGTGTGGGGGGGGAGGTGAGACAAGGCTGTGTGGGGGAGGTGAGACAAGGCTGTGTGGGGGAGGTGAGACAAGGCTGTGGGGGGTGGTGAGACAAGGCTGTGTGGGGGGGGAGGTGAGACAAGGCTGTGTGGGGGAGGTGAGACAAGGCTGTGTGGGGGGGGTGAGACAAGGCTGTGTGGGGGTGGTGAGACAAGGCTGTGTGGGGGTGGTGAGACAAGGCTGTGTGGGGGGGGAGGTGAGACAAGGCTGTGTGGGGGAGGTGAGACAAGGCTGTGGGGGGGGGAGGTGAGACAAGGCTGTGTGGGAGGGGGAGGTGAGACAAGGCTGTGGGGGGGGGAGGTGAGACAAGGCTGTGGGGGGGGAGGTGAGACAGGCTGTGTGGGGGAGGTGAGACAAGGCTGTGTGGGGGAGGTGAGACAAGGCTGTGTGGGGGAGGTGAGACAAGGCTGTGTGGGGGAGGTGAGACAAGGCTGTGTGGGGGAGGTGAGACAAGGCTGTGTGGGGGAGGTGAGACAAGGCTGTGTGGGAGAGGTGAGACAAGGCTGTGTGGGAGAGGTGAAACAAGGCTGTGTGGGGGTGGTGAGACAAGGCTGTGTGGGGGAGGTGAGACAAGGCTGTGTGGGGGTGGTGAGACAAGGCTGTGTGGGGGTGGTGAGACAAGGCTGTGTGGGGGTGGTGAGACAAGGCTGTGTGGGGGTGGTGAGACAAGGCTGTGTGGGGGTGGTGAGACAAGGCTGTGTGGGGGTGGTGAGACAAGGCTGTGTGGGGGTGGTGAGACAAGGCTGTGTGGGGGTGGTGAGACAAGGCTGTGTGGGGGAGGTGAGACAAGGCTGTGTGGGGGAGGTGAGACAAGGCTGTGTGGGGGAGGTGAGACAAGGCTGTGTGGGGGGGGGAGGTGAGACAAGGCTGTGTGGGGGAGGTGAGACAAGGCTGTGTGGGGGAGGTGAGACAAGGCTGTGTGGGGGGGGAGGTAAGACAAGGCTGTGTGGGGGTGGTGAGACAAGGCTGTGTGGGGGAGGTGAGACAAGGCTGTGTGGGGGTGGTGAGGCAAGGCTGTGTGGGGGAGGTGAGACAAGGCTGTGTGGGAGAGGTGAGACAAGGCTGTGTGGGGGTGGTGAGACAAGGTTGTGTGGGGGTGGTGAGACAAGGCTGTGTGGGGGTGGTGAGACAAGGCTGTGTGGGGGTGGTGAGACAAGGCTGTGTGGGGGTGGTGAGACAAGGCTGTGTGGGGGTGGTGAGACAAGGCTGTGTGGGGGGAGAGAGGGGGGTAGGGGAAGGGCAGGCGTCATCACAACCTCCACGAGAGGGCTAAAATAGGTGGGCCAGCCTTCCCCTCCGCTCCTCCACACTAACCACTCACCATCATTCATGCCATCATTGTTCAAGTGGCAGTAATGGTGTTATTGTCCTTCTGGCGATGTAAATATTATGGAAATACTGGTTATGTAACTTGCTGATGATACTTTACCTTGAGATGGTTTCGGGGCTTAGCGTCCCCACGGCCCGGTCCTCCACCAGGCCTTCTCGTTGCTGGACTGGTCAACCAGCCTGTTGGACGCGGCTGCTCGCAGCCTGACTCATGAATCACAGCCTGGTTGATCAGGTATCCTTTGGAGGTGCTTATCTAGTTCTCTCTTGAACACTGTGAGGGGTCGGCCAGTTATGTCCCTTATGTGTAGTGGAAGCGTGTTGAACAGTCTCGGGCCTCTGATGTTGATAGTTCTCTCTTGAACACTGTGAGGGGTCGGCCAGTTATGTCCCTTATGTGTAGTGGAAGCGTGTTGAACAGTCGCGGGCCTCTGATGTTGATAGTTCTCTCTCAAAGTACCTGTTGCACCTCTGCTTTTCAACGGGCGTATTCTGCACCTCCTGCCATGCCTCCTGGTCTCATGTGGTGTTATTTCTGTGTACAGGTTTGGGACCAGCCCCTCTACTATTTTCCACGTATAGATTATTATGTATCTCTCCCGCCTGCGCTCAAGAGAATACAGATTTAGGCTCTTTAGTCGGTCCCAATAGTTTAGATGTTTTACTGAGTGGATTCTAGCAGTAAAGGATCTCTGCACGCTCTCCAGGTCAGAAATTTCTCCAGCTTTGAAAGGTGCTGTCATTGTGCAGCAGTACTCTGGTTGATACCTGGTTGATGGGGTTCTGGGAGTTCTATTCCCCAAGCCCGGCCCGAGGCCAGGCTTGACTTGTGAGAGTTTGGTCCACTAGGCTGTTGCTTTGAGCGGCCTGCAGACCCACATACCCACCACAGCCCGGTTGGTCCGGCACTCCTTGGAGGAATAAATCTAGTTTCCTCTTGAAGATGTCCACGGTTGTTTCGGCAATATTTCTTATGCTTGCTTGGAGGACGTTGAACAACCGCGGACCTCTGATGTTTATACAGTGTTCTCTGATTGTGCCTATGGCACCTCTGCTCTTTACTGGTTCTATTCTACATTTTCTTCTATATCGTTCACTCCAGTACGTTGTTATTTTACTGTGTAGATTTGGTACTTGGCCCTCCAGTATCTTCCAGGTGTATATTATATGTATATTATAGTGTATATCCAGGTGTATAGTATATCTCTTTGATATCTCTCTCGTATTCTTTCTAATGAGTTCATTTGAAGGGCTTTGAGACGCTTCTAATAATTTAGGTGCTTTATCTCGTCTATGCGTGCCGTATATGTTCTCTGTATTCCTTTTATTTCAGCAATCTCTCCTGCTCTGAAGGGGAAAGTGAGTACTGAGCAGTACTCGAGACGGGACAACACAAGTGACTAGAAGAGTACAACCATTGTGGTGGGATCCCTGGATTTGAAAGTTCTCGTAATCTATCCGATCATTTTTCTGGCTGACGCAATGTTTGCTTGGTTATGCTCCCTAAACGTTAGGTCGTCAGACATCATTATTCCCAAATCCTTTACATGCTGTTTTCCTACTATGGGCAAATTTGATTGTGTTTTGTACCCTGTATTATGTTTAAGGTAATCATTTTTACCGTACCTGAGTACCTGGAATTTATCACTGTTAAACATCATGTTGTTTTCTGATGCCCAGTCGAAAACTTTATTAATATCAGCTTGAAGTTTTTCAATGTCTTCAGCCGAGGTAATTTTCATACTGATTTTTGTGTCATCTGCAAAGGATGATACGAAGCTGTGACTTGTATTTTTGTCTATATCTGATATGAGAATAAGGAAAAGCAGCGGTGCAAGGACTGTACCCTGAGGTACAGAGCTTTTAACTGCACTTGGACTAGATTTTATATGGTTGACCGTTACTCGCTGAGTCCTGTTTGACAGAAAACAGAGTATCCAGCGTCCTACTTTACCGGTTATTCCCAATGACTTCATTTTGTGCTATCATGCCATGGTCACATTTATCGAAAGCCTTTGCGAAGTCCGTGTATATCACATCAGCATTCTGTTTTTCTTCTAATGCCTCAGTGACTTTGTCGTAGTGCTCAAGTAGCTGCGAGAGGCACGATCTTCCCGCTCGAAATCCAAGTTGGCCTGGGTTGTGGAGGTCATTGGTCTCCATGAAATTGGGGACCTGACTCCTAATCACTCTCTCAAATACTTTTATGATGTGCGATGTTAGTGCAACTGGTCTATAATTCTTTGGCAATTCTTGGCAAAGAATTTTTCTTCTATAATTCTTTGGCAATTCTTAATTCTTCGCTAGTGCTAGAGAGCACTAGCGTCTTGAAGAGTATCATCATCAATGCAGCATCTCTAGTGTGAAAGGTTAAACTCCATGTTATTTTCTGTAGCCCATAGAAAGACCTGATCTACATCTGATTGGAGGTTTGCCGTGTCCTCTATGTTGCCAACTCTCATGAAAATCCTAGTGCCATCAGCAAAGGATGATACAGTACTATAGGTTGTGTTCTGGTCTATGTCCGATATGAGTATGAGAAAAAGTACTGGAGCAAGCACAGTACCCTGGGGGACTGAGCTCTTCACGGTTGATAGTCAGGATTTTATTTTGTTGATTACTCCACATTAGGTTCTGTTAGTTTTTAGGGGAGGCGAGAGGAGGGGAGGCGAGAGGAGGGGAGGCGAGAGGAGGGGACGCCGCCACACGGGAAGAAAGTATATTACCTGGATTTACCTAGAGGCTATTCCGGGGCCGAGGGTAAGTTTGCGTCCTGCCGGGGAACAGCTGCTACCACACTTCCTGGGAGATGTGTAGTTGCTCCAGCAGGATGTTCCCGCCTCCACACCTCCCGCCTCCACGCCTCCCGCCTCCACGCCTCCCGCCTCCACACCTCCCGCCTCCACGCCTCCCGCCTCCACGCCTCCCGCCTCCACGCCTCCCGCCTCCACGCCTCCCGCCTCCCGCCTCCACACCTCCCGCCTCCAGCCTCCACGCCTCCCGCCTCCACGCCTCCCGCCTCCACGCCTCCCGCCTCCACGCCTCCACGCCTCCCGCCTCCACGCCTCCACGCCTCCACGCCTCCACGCCTCCACGCCTCCACGCCTCCCGCCTCCACGCCTCCCGCCTCCACGCCTCCACGCCTCCACGCCTCCACGCCTCCACGCCTCCACGCCTCCACGCCTCCCGCCTCCACGCCTCCCGCCTCCACGCCTCCACGCCTCCCGCCTCCACGCCTCCCCGCCTCCACGCCTCCACGCCTCCACACCTCCCGCCTCCACACCTCCCGCCTCCACACCTCCCGCCTCCACACCTCCCGCCTCCACACCTCCCGCCTCCACACCTCCCGCCTCCACACCTCCCGCCTCCACACCTCCCGCCTCCACACCTCCCGCCTCCACACCTCCCGCCTCCACGCCTCCCGCCTCCACGCCTCCCGCCTCCACACCTCTCGCCTCCACGCCTCCCGCCTCCACGCCTCCCGCCTCCACGCCTCCCGCCTCCACGCCTCCCGCCTCCACGCCTCCCGCCTCCACGCCTCCCGCCTCCCGCCTCCACGCCTCCACGCCTCCCGCCTCCACACCTCTCGCCTCCACACCTCCCGCCTCCACACCTCCCGCCTCCACACCTCCCGCCTCCACACCTCCCGCCTCCACACCTCCCGCCTCCACACCTCCCGCCTCCACACCTCCCGCCTCCACGCCTCCACGCCTCCACGCCTCCCGCCTCCACGCCTCCCGCCTCCACGCCTCCCGCCTCCACGCCTCCCGCCTCCACGCCTCCACGCCTCCCGCCTCCACACCTCTCGCCTCCACGCCTCCACGCCTCCACGCCTCCCGCCTCCACGCCTCCCGCCTCCACGCCTCCACACCTCCCGCCTCCACACCTCCCGCCTCCACACCTCCCGCCTCCACGCCTCCACACCTCCACGCCTCCCGCCTCCACACTTCTCCCGCCTCCACACTTCTCGCCTCCACACCTCCCGCCTCCACACCTCTCGCCTCCACACCTCCCGCCTCCACACCTCCCGCCTCCACACCTCCCGCCTCCACACCTCCCGCCTCCACACCTCCCGCCTCCACACCTCCCGCCTCCACACCTCCCGCCTCCACACCTCCCGCCTCCACACCTCCCGCCTCCACACCTCCCGCCTCCACACCTCCCGCCTCCACACCTCCCGCCTCCACACCTCCCGCCTCCACACCTCCCGCCTCCACACCTCCCGCCTCTACACCTCCCGCCTCCACACCTCCCGCCTCCACACCTCCCGCCTCCACACCTCCCGCCTCCACACCTCCCGCCTCCACACCTCCCGCCTCCACACCTCCCGCCTCCACACCTCCCGCCTCCACGCCTCCCGCCTCCACGCCTCCCGCCTCCACGCCTCCCGCCTCCCGCCTCCACACCTCCCGCCTCCACACCTCCCGCCTCCACACCTCCCGCCTCCACACCTCCCGCCTCCACACCTCCCGCCTCCACACCTCCCGCCTCCACGCCTCCCGCCTCCACACCTCTCGCCTCCACGCCTCCACGCCTCCACGCCTCCACACCTCCCGCCTCCACGCCTCCACACCTCCCGCCTCCACGCCTCCACACCTCCACGCCTCCACGCCTCCCGCCTCCACACCTCTCGCCTCCACACCTCTCGCCTCCACACCTCCCGCCTCCACACCTCCCGCCTCCGCCTCCACGCCTCCACGCCTCCACGCCTCCACGCCTCCACACCTCCCGCCTCCACGCCTCCACACCTCCCGCCTCCACGCCTCCACACCTCCACGCCTCCACGCCTCCCGCCTCCACACCTCTCGCCTCCACACCTCTCGCCTCCACACCTCCCACCTCCCGCCTCCACACCTCCCGCCTCCACACCTCCCGCCACCACACCTCCCGCCCCCACACCTCCCGCCTCCACACCTCCCGCCTCCACACCTCCCGCCTCCACACCTCCCGCCTCCACACCTCCCGCCTCCACACCTCCCGCCTCCACACCTCCCGCCTCCACACCTCCCGCCTCCACACCTCCCACCTCCACACCTCATCAACTACCTCATCTACACCTCATACCATCATCACGGGCGCTTGTTCTATACTAAAGTTAACCCCACTGATACACTACGTCATCCTTAATCATCATTTTGGGTTGAAGACCATCTTGACCAAGACCTCAGAGCTCGTAAAGTGTTTAGTGAATGTTGACTGTACTGTGTACCACCAGAGTACTGCCAGAGGTCTCCCCCCCCCGCTGTGTTGACTGTACTGTGTACCACCAGAGTACTCCCAGAGGTCTCCCCCCCCCCACTGTGTTGACTGTACTGTGTACCACCAGAGTACTCCCAGAGGTGTCTCCCCCCCCCCCACTGTGTTGACTGTACTGTGTACCACCAGAGTACTGCCAGAGGTCTCCCCCCCCCCGCTGTGTTGACTGTACTGTGTACCACCAGAGTACTCCCAGAGGTCTCCCCCCCCCCGCTGTGTTGACTGTACTGTGTACCACCAGAGTACTCCCAGAGGTGTCCCCCCCCACTGTGTTGACTGTACTGTGTACCACCAGAGTACTCCCAGAGGTGTCTCCCCCCCCCCACTGTGTTGACTGTACTGTGTACCACCAGAGTACTGCCAGAGGTCTCCCCCCCACTGTGTTGACTGTACTGTGTACCACCAGAGTACTCCCAGAGGTGTCTCCCCCCCCCCCCACTGTGTTGACTGTACTGTGTACCACCAGAGTACTGCCAGAGGCGTCCCCCCCCCACTGTGTTGACTGTACTGTGTACCACCAGAGTACTGCCAGAGGTCTCCCCCCCCCACTGTGTTGACTGTACTGTGTACCACCAGAGTACTCCCAGAGGTCTCCCCCCCCCCCACTGTGTTGACTGTACTGTGTACCACCAGAGTACTGCCAGAGGTCTCCCCCCCCACTGTGTTGACTGTACTGTGTACCACCAGAGTACTCCCAGAGGTCTCCCCCCCCCCGCTGTGTTGACTGTACTGTGTACCACCAGAGTACTCCCAGAGGTCTCCCCCCCCCCCCGCTGTGTTGACTGTACTGTGTACCACCAGAGTACTGCCAGAGGTCTCCCCCCCCACTGTGTTGACTGTACTGTGTACCACCAGAGTACTGCCAGAGGTCTCCCCCCCCCCCACTGTGTTGACTGTACTGTGTACCACCAGAGTACTCCCAGAGGTCTCCCCCCCCCCCGCTGTGTTGACTGTACTGTGTACCACCAGAGTACTCCCAGAGGTGTCCCCCCCCCCCCCCCGCTGTGTTGACGGTACTGTGTACCACCAGAGTACTCCCAGAGGTGTCCCCCCCACTGTGTTGGCTGTACTGTGTACCACCAGAGTACTCCCAGAGGTGTCTCCCCCCCCCACTGTGTTGACTGTACTGTGTACCACCAGAGTACTCCCAGAGGTGTCCCCCCCCGCTGTGTTGACGGTACTGTGTACCACCAGAGTACTCCCAGAGGTGTCCCCCCCACTGTGTTGACTGTACTGTGTACCACCAGAGTACTCCCAGAGGTGTCTCCCCCCCCCCCACTGTGTTGACTGTACTGTGTACCACCAGAGTACTCCCAGAGGTGTCTCCCCCCCCCCCCACTGTGTTGACTGTACTGTGTACCACCAGAGTACTCCCAGAGGTGTCTCCTCCCCCCCCCACTGTGTTAACTGTACTGTGTACCACCAGAGTACTCCCAGAGGTGTCTCCTCCCCCACTGTGTTGACTGTACTGTGTACCACCAGAGTACTCCCAGAGGTCTCCCCCCCCCCGCTGTGTTGACTGTACTGTGTACCACCAGAGTACTCCCAGAGGTGTCTCCCCCCCCCACTGTGTTGACTGTACTGTGTACCACCAGAGTACTCCCAGAGGTGTCCCCCCCCCCCACTGTGTTGACTGTACTGTGTACCACCAGAGTACTCCCAGAGGCGTCCCCCCCCCCCACTGTGTTGACTGTACTGTGTACCACCAGAGTACTCCCAGAGGCGTCCCCCCCACACTGTGTTGACTGTACTGTGTACCACCAGAGTACTCCCAGAGGACTCCCCCCCCCCCCGCTGTGTTGACTGTACTGTGTACCACCAGAGTACTCCCAGAGGTGTCCCCCCCCCCACTGTGTTGACTGTACTGTGTACCACCAGAGTACTCCCAGAGGTGTCCCCCCCCCACTGTGTTGACTGTACTGTGTACCACCAGAGTACTGCCAGAGGCGTCTCCCCCCCCCCACTGTATTGACTGTACTGTGTACCACCAGAGTACTGCCAGAGGCGTCTCCCCCCCCCCCCCCCCCCGCTGTGTTGACTGTACTGTGTACCACCAGAGTACTCCCAGAGGTGTCCCCCCCCACTATTGACTGTACTGTGTACCACCAGAGTACTCCCAGAGGCGTCTCCCCCCCCCCACTGTATTGACTGTACTGTGTCCCACCAGAGTACTCCCAGAGGTGTCCCCCCCCCACTGTATTGACTGTACTGTGTACCACCAGAGTACTCCCAGAGGTGTCCCCCCCCACTGTATTGACTGTACTGTGTACCACCAGAGTACTCCCAGAGGTGTCCCCCCCACTGTATTGACTGTACTGTGTACCACCAGAGTACTCCCAGAGGCGTCTCCCCCCCCCACTGTGTTGACTGTACTGTGTACCACCAGAGTACTCCCAGAGGCGTCCCCCCCCCCCACTGTATTGACTGTACTGTGTACCACCAGAGTACTCCCAGAGGTGTCTCCCCCCCCCGTGTTGACTGTACTGTGTACCACCAGAGTACTCCCAGAGGGTCCCCCCCCCCGCTGTGTTGACTGTACTGTGTACCACCAGAGTACTTCCAGAGGTGTCCCCCCCCCCACTGTGTTGACTGTACTGTGTACCACCAGAGTACTCCCAGAGGTGTCCCCCCCCCCACTGTGTTGACTGTACTGTGTACCACCAGAGTACTCCCAGAGGTGTCCCCCCCCCCACTGTGTTGACTGTACTGTGTACCACCAGAGTACTCCCAGAGGTGTCTCCTCCCCCCCCGCTGTGTTAACTGTACTGTGTACCACCAGAGTACTCCCAGAGGTGTCTCCTCCCCCCCCCCACTGTGTTAACTGTACTGTGTACCACCAGAGTACTCCCAGAGGTGTCCCCCCCCCTACTGTGTTGACTGTACTGTGTACCACCAGAGTACTCCCAGAGGCGTCCCCCCCCCACTGTATTGACTGTACTGTGTACCACCAGAGTACTCCCAGAGGCGTCCCCCCCCCCACTGTGTTGACTGTACTGTGTACCACCAGAGTACTCCCAGAGGTGTCTCCTCCC